CTGCTTTGGTGGGAGGGGCCGTGAATGCGCCTGAAGGACCCGTTGCATGCAGTTGCGCCTAACCACCAGTAGGCGGCTCCAAAAACACAAACAATCACTGCACATCACTTTTGGTGAAATTCACATTTTCATCTCTGTTACACCAGCCTTACAGCCCCACCCTCAGTTAGGGCTGTTGCGGTTGAGGAATTCCCCCTGCGGTGATTCAGGGTGGCTTAATATTGCGGTGTGCGATATTATTGCAGCATTTTCTTTTTATTGCAGTACTATCTAAACATAATGTTTACACATTTAAAAAAGGTTAAAAATTGCCGTGCCTTCTTTTATAACACTTTACTGAATGCAGATCAAAGGGAAGTAACAACACAGATCGCAGTAACGTTTGTTTCTCCGACAGTCGGAGTACGAGTGAATTTAAAAACAACAAAATTCAGGAGAAGGTTAAACTTTTAAATGCAAATTTGGCTGCAGCATCTAACAAATAACAAACAAGTCTCCAATGTGTTTAGTTGTTTAAAATCAAGCATAAAAAATTACATGTACCGGGCGCGGGGCACTATCATTTCACTTTCACTTTCACACACACGAATGACGGTGATTTATAGCTCGGTCACGTCCTTGTTACCTATAAGGAAAACCAGCATGTTAACCATATACGGTTTGAGAGAGGATCTGAGAGGGGTGGCAACATTTGCAGCAACACTGAAAACCCTCTCGGATGGTGCGCTCGATGCACTAACGCACACGTACTTGCGTGCGACAGGCGAGCAAAGGTAATCTCTCCCGGTTGTTGCTCCACCATGTCAGGGGGGTTTCTTTAGGGTGGATGCATTCCTCCTGCAGGTAGCGAGTGAGCTCCAGCTCAGCTCAAACTCTCTTCGGGACGGTTGCAGAAGCAGTGCTTGTCTGGGACTTCAGCAGGTCTCCGAGCGTTTATTTATTTATTTGCCGCTGGTGGCAGCTCTGTCTCGGCCAAGGACTCTGGCTGCGCAGCAGCTGATGTACTGAAAACCAAAGTGCTCCCAAAGGAGCGAAGTAACGTTTCGTTTTGATACCAGTGCAGCCATCCTTCTCAACATGCATCATTGAGTTGAACCAAGTTCAGTAATCGCGGTGGCCCATGATGCAGCGCGGTGGGCTTCTTCATATTGCAATATTTCATTTTTGCGGTTACCGTGACAGCCCTACCCTCAGCTCCTCCTCTCTTCCCTTTTTTGGAATTGTCTTGGCTTGACGGAACCTGTGACATGGTCAAAATGGCGGTGGTGGCCACCTCCCATTTCTCTTCAAAAACGTGTTATTGGAGTCTATGGAAACCCATTGTCTAATATTTATATGTCGATGGTCAAGATGCGTGAATCCTTGAATGTTTAAGTGACAGTGTGACGTAGATCTCTCAGGCTTTTCAAATCCTAGAGTGTCACAGACCATTTTCTATCAGAAGCTAATGTAGGAGATAGGTGTAGGAGACTGTTTTCATGTTCAGTCTGCATGAAAAACTCTGAGTGACTTATTATGATCAGAACTAAGATTTTAAAAGGGTTCTTTGGTGTTCCACACCTTTAAAGGGCTAAAACTAAAATGAAAGGGCTTTCATTTTAAAGCAGTTGTTGAAAAATTGTTGTAAATTTAGCTAGAAATTGACCTAAATATTGACCACCTCCCATGTGCACTGCAGCGTGTTGGCCATCTGTGGAGGAGGTGAGTCTGTCCATTAGAAGAATCAAAAGGCTGAGTCACATCTCGGCAACAGTCGCCAAGGCAACACCTCCATAGTGACCAGAAGGAAGAAGATAAGTTCTGTTGCTGCTCAGCTAGTTGTGTAGTATTGTCAATGCATTCTCCTTCTGTTGCTGCTGATTGTGTGGCAGTTATCATTCGTTATAACCACCAAATAAAGATCTATCGGTTATCAGCACACTCTAGTCTTACACACACTGTTTAGGACGCATTTTACATTTTGTTATAATTATAATAATAAAACATTAAGATTCTTTCTTCTAACATTTAAAAACAAAGACACTGACATGAGTTGTGGTTTTTTGTAGCCTGACCATTTTCCCTGCAATAAGAGGTCAAACACAGTGTCACGAGTTCTGCAAGAAGCTCCCTGCCTCAGGGTTGTCTGGAAACGAGCTGAATTAGGTTTACAGGAGACACTGATTTGATAAGGCTCAGAGGGAAGTCCTGTTTCATATTGAATGTGTGTGATTGTCAACTCGGGAAATTTCTTCTTTATCTCACTGAGTAGAGTTTGTTTGATTGGGGATTGCTGGTTACATTTTGGGGCAGGCTGTGGTGACAAACTTTTATTTTTAAAACAAAAAAAAACTTTTGTCACTTTCCCTGAGCTATGCATGTTTAAAACATTGCCCTTGTTGACCCTACTCTGATTAGAATAAAAACAAGAAAAGTGTGTCAATTTAGAGTTCCAATCTCTATTCTCTCACTTGAATGTTTTAAAACCATTGCAGTTTTCATCAAAATATTATATATTTCACATATCAGAGAAAGTTTAAACCAGGTGTCACCAACTTTGGTCCTTGAGGGCTACCATCCTGCACATGTTAGCTGTTTCTTTGTGTCACTAATGTTGCGGGTAAAATGCGTCAGTTACGTCATGCAGTGAAAAGCTGGGGTAACTAATTTAGGTGAGTTGCACATGTGATCTCGTTCTTTTAGTAATTACCCAAAACTGATTATTGTAGGTTAGGTTTGGAATGTTGATCAACCTGTAAGTCTAGAGCTTCACTTTCAGGCTTCACTCCCTCTTCTGTAGAACTGAGGTTTGACAGAAAAACTCAAAATATTGATTAATAATATGCTGGTTGATTGTTATACGTATGGTGCCGGGCTTTAATACTTTCATCAGTTTAACAAGCACCATCATACATTGGTGATGTTCTCAGTCCCTACACCCCCAGCAGGTCCCTGAGGTCCAGTGATCAAAGCCTACTGGTTGTGCAGCACCAGGTTAAAGACCAAAGGTGACAGATCATTTGCTGCTGTGGCCCCCAGACTCTGGAACTCTCTCCCCCTGAGCCTGAGGTCAGTGGACTCAGTGGTCTCCTTTAAAAAGCAGCTGAAAACTCACTTGTTCAAGCTGGCTTTTGTATGACCTTCTTCACCCTCTCCTTGTTCTGCTCTCCCCACTTATTCCACCTTCCTCAGGATCCACTGATTTCCCTCTTTCCTACTCTCTCTCTCTCTTCTCTCTCTCTCTCTCTCTCTCTCTCTCTCTCTCTCTCTCTCTCTCTCTCTCTCCTCTCTCTCTCTCTCTCTCTCTCTCTCTCTCTCTCTCTCTCTCTCTCTCTCTCTCTCTCTCTCTCTCTCTCTCTCTCTCTCTCTCTCTCTCTCTCTCTCTCTCTCTCTCTCTCTCTCTCTCTCTCTCTCTCTCTCTCTCTCTCCTCTCTCTCTCTCCTCTCTCTCTCTCTCTCTCTTCTCTCTCTCTCTCTCTCTCTCTCTCTCTCTCTCTCTCTCTCTCTCTCTCTCTCTCTCTCTCTCTCTCTCTCTCTCTCTCTCTCTCTCTCTCTCTCTCTCTCTCTCTCTCTCTCTCTCTCTCTCTCTCTCTCTCTCTCTTTACATTTTTTAATCACAATTGTCTGTTTTTGCATATTTTAAACATGGTAAATGGCCTGTATTTGATCTAGCACCTTCTAGAGTTCTTGAACCCCCCCCTAGGCGCTTTACAACACAGTCATTCACCCATTCACACACACATTTGCACGCTGGTGGGGATGAGCTACGTAGCCACAGCTGCACTGGGCCGCACTGACTGAGGCGAGGCTGCCGAGCACTGGCGCTCCCGATCCCTCTGACCACCACCAGCAGGCAAGGGGGGTTAAGAGTCTTGCCCAAGGGCACAGCGACAGACTGAGCAGGGCTTGAACCTGCAACCTTCCAAAAACATATTTTTAATCATTTTCTAAATTCTTTTTTTTATATCTAAAATTTTTGTTTTTGTGAAGCGCCTCGTAATTTTTATCTTGAGAGGCGCTATAGAAAAGAAAGTTTCTTCTTCTAACTCATGGGACTTTCTTCTTTGTTGGGTTTTTAATCAGTGTGCTTTGAATGTAGTGCATCTTTTTATAGTCAAGTAAAATAGAGCTGAATGAGGTAAACATTAGGGAATATCGTGACTTCCTTGAGCTGCAGCAGGTACAAAAGCTGACTAGTTGTTGTACTTGTGGTCAAACTGCTACATATGATGGTCAGCATGCCTCCAGGAAACACAAAACGACCCTGTTTAAACACGGAAACGGGTTGTTTCTACAGCAGGAAGAGTATTCACTACTTAAGCACTTTTTATGGGAACTCCACTTTTAACCAACTGTTCTACTTCTCTCTCTAATTTCCTGCTGTTTTAAAAATCAAAACCAGACAGAAGGAATTGAAATTATTTTGACAATTTCTCAAAAACGTAAGGCCTTTTAAAAGCTCTTAATTTTGCCTTCAGGAGGTTATTAAAACCAGTCAGGATGGGACTAATGAACTGGCTAACGTCTTTGTTTATTCTCAGATTGATAGTGTGAGTTGAGTTTTCTCTTTAATCTGAGTATTGGTTAGTGGCTGGTGTAATCAAACTGTGGTGGTAACCATGAAACCGTGAGGATGACTGCTAGGCATGTCTCTCTCAGTCCATGTCCTGTTGGGTTTCCTGTAATTATGTCTTCTAACTTGTCCACAAGGGGGAGGTTTTTGCCAACAAGAGAGTCAGTGCTGGTGTTGATATTATTATTATTAGTAGTAGTAGTAGTAGTGGTAGTGGTAGTATGCAGCTATGTGTCATTTTAATAACTGGGTATATAGTTGCACATGTGGGCTTGAAAGACCAAAGAGTTGCGTATTATTGTCAACAAAAAGAGTTATTTAAAGTTTATCTTTTATTCCTAGGCAGAAAAAAAAATTCAGAAACTTGGTATACCTCAATTGATCTTGCCATTGGAATATTTAACAATATTTTCCTAACATCACTTGGCTACACCGCTCTCCTCCTTCAGGATAAAGGCGCGTTGCTAAATGGAGTCAGAGCAGCTGTACCACAGGGGCTACTGCAGGAACAGCTACAACAGCATCGCCAGCGCCAGCAGTGACGAGGAGCTGCTGGATGGAGCCGGCATCGTCATGGACTTCCACACCACTGAGGATGACAACCTGCTCGACGGGGACGCTGCCTCCCGAGGTAGGGGGACACCTCCCTGTGCAATTAGTTTGGTTAAACTTTGGACACACAGAGCTTCTCCGTCATAACTCTGAGACATTCATGATGATAAAAAATGCATCATCAGACTTTAGATGTCTGGTTTATCAAAGTTTGTCAAGTTAAACACCAAAAACTACTTTTTAGGCCTTTTGTAAGATTATTCTTTTGTAATTTGTAGGGTTGTGTTGCAGACCCTGTCTGAGACAGGATTCCTTTTTTTCTGCTACCTGTTTAGCTCTGACCTCTTTTGAACTCCTGCAGTTCCCTGCAGTCTTGGTGAAGTCACTAGCTTAGTGGGTTTAGATGTGTGTTCCTACATCATCCATGCTTGACATAAACACTTTTGTGCTCAGCTATCAGGCTTTCATGTTTTCAATTTCTACAAATTATTCATTAGCAGCCTGACTAAGTTGGCTAATGGTAACACCGACTTTATGAACACCTGAGCAGCGAGAGCGATTGTTTTTACAGGATTTTGGTCTTTCGCTTGCTAATTCCAACAAGTTTAGACCAACAAATGGAGCAGCAAAGGATTTCTTTTTTTGCAGCACAAAAAGGAAAAAAAAATAAAGTAAAAGTCATGCTGTAGCTTTTTATTAATAATTATTTAAAAGGAGACTACTGGTTTTGGCTTACTTTTAGCACCCCCTAGTGTCCGTTAGTCAAAGCAAAAGGTAAACTACTCATCACTGTGCGTTTGGGTTTTTAACACTGAAATGTCTCCCCAGCCTTCCTAAGTGTCTACAGGAGTGATTCATCACTAAATTAAACAAATCAGCTGTTTTCATGGTCTAAAAACGTGTAGGAAACATGCTGTAACCAGACTCCAGTGCCAGGCATGTTGGCTATGTTTGCTCTACTTTACTAAGTCCAACAAAGACCAGAGTGGCACTCTGAAGTTGCTAGTGCTATTTTCTGGCCAGAAGAGGTGGTGGGGGTCTGAGTGACATTTCGTTGACTCTGTAAAGGGTCCTTTTAGCACATACTGGCTCTAGAAAATGATTTAAAAATATGAAAAAGCTTCATAATATGCCTTTAAATTTTATTTTTGCATAATTTTCCACCCCATCAATCGGAAATCATGATTATTTTTAAAGCATTGGTGCAGATCTTTCTCAGTTTGGAGAATTCTGACTGGATCGATAAGCTAACAGCTAGTCACAGTAAGGGGATTTATTTTGTTTTTAAACATTGTAAAGCTAAAAATACCATAACCGTTTATTTGAAAATCTATTTTTAGAAATTGTAAACTGGTGTAAATTTAGCCTCATCTTTCTACTGGTGGAGCTAGCTATCTGTAGCACTTCTTGGAATGTTGTATTGTTATTCTGTCTGCTTTGTTGCTCTTTTGTAAACGGTAACAAAGATGGGGACATTTTTATCTGATGTTATTTTAATTTTCCACTCACTGCCTTGTCCTTAGCTTGTGTTTTCACTCTGAAATTGAATCTCCACATCTGGTTTGATTTTCACCTTTTGTTCTTCCTGACCTTCGTCGTCATCCTCTTGTACAGTTTTTGTTACTTCTACAAGCACGCCAAGTTTCAGTGGAACGTTGAAACAAACCGGTACGCAAAAGAAATGTGTAAAAAGACCCGCACCACCCCTCGTTTCTCATACTGTCAAACATACAATTGCAGACTTTACCTCCTTGGGTTCATCTAGCAGTTAGTTCAGTCTGGATCTTTATCTGATGCATGTGAAACAACAGTCCTGTGAGCTAGTCTGGAGGCCAGCAGCTTTGAGAAAGTCTTCCTGGAAGTCTTTAGATTAATGCTATTCATTAATGTCTTTGTGCTGCTGTTTTTTATTTTTTATTGTCGTGTAATGGGGCGGGGTGTGTTCTGAGAAAATCTCACAAATTTGGCCTCATCATCAAATTCTGTGTAGTCCCAAAAAGATTTATACCTGAATGTTTTTGTTAGCTTAAAAAATAACAAAGAAAAATTGGGCAAATTAATGTTCTCACTTGTAATCCTCGAGGAAGGAGATGAAAATCTGGAGTTTGAGTCACCCTTATTGCTGCAAGGTAAGAAGCAATAAGTTTTATAATCTATTCATTTAACACTGATACCAGTCAACATGCTGAATCTAAATATGACTGGTTTTTGTCTGGGAACTGAAAACATAGTTAAAAACCACGAGTTACCTTTTCTATGTCTTGTAATAACACACCATTACACTGAGTTTACAAAACACTGTAGAAACACAGTGGCTGTGATCGGGTTTGGACTTTACTTTAGAACTGAAAGGCAACATTGACTGAGAAGGACCAAAATGCAAACAGTATTTCTATATTTAAAATGGGAATTGCAAGAACAAGAATGGAAAGATCTCGTTGTGTTGTTTGATGCAATAATATGAAGGACAGAGTGAAAATTTCATGTGTTTAATACATCATCTACGTATACTTTTTAAGTCAAAGCTACAACTCTGACATGATGACACAACCTCCAACAGACCTCCATAGAACTGATGGATCTGGCACTAAGCTGTAAGTATCGGCCAGCTCCATCCATTGGACTTGTTATTAGCGATCATAATAAAATGGTATTACTAAAAAAAGACAGACTTTACTTTTGAAATCAGTACAAATGTACGATTGTTGTGATGCAAAGAGCAAGTTGCCACATGAGGTGTGTTAGCACTTTCGGAAGGGGGAGTGCCCAGGCTGGCCGTAGCTTGGCTAAGCTGGGATATTGCTTACATGCAGAGAAATTCGGTTTTCTAACTGCATCATCTGGGTACCTCAGCTCGATTAGGAGTAGTTCAGTGAGGCTTGACTTAAGCCGAACTGAGGCGTATTCGTGCATTTAAAAAGCGTGACTTCAGTCGGACCAAGACAATTATTTGGTTTTCTGGCACTGCATGTAAACCTGATTACTGAATACTGATTGAGAACCTGTTGTTTCCCAGTAGAACACAATTCAAGCCTTCACACTATAATCCGTTCAGGTTCCATATCCTTCCCAGTTGAGCTTAAACCTGGCCACCCACATAATTAGAAAGAGATTGATTTGACCAGGTCACTCTCACTTGTGCATTGTAATTGTGAGTCTTTCAATAGAATTTCAGTCACTTCGTGTAATAAAACCTTCAATTCGTAGCTTTCATTGACTTTCTAAACTACTGAGCTACACTGGTGGTTCTACTAGATCAAAAAGATTTTCCAGCCTGTCTAATCATGGGTGTCCACTACCACGTTGCCTCTTCTCTGTATTTTACACTTTTTGCAGGTTTAGGTAGTTTTTTCCCCCACAACCGACTTGAATTATTACACAAAGCCGCAGTTGCTCATTTTCCAAAGTTGTGTACTTTTTCTTGCTTTCAACACATGGACCTGTTTATTATACTTTTGCTCAGAGCCATTGCATCACTTTCACAGCATTTCACTTCAGATAAGAGGGAAGTGGTTTTGTGTAACAATTAAACACCAGGTGATAAATTCAAAATGTTGTGTATTGGGGTGACGGTGGCACGGGAGTTAAGTGCTCGCTCCGTAATCAGACTGTTGCAGGTTCAAGCCCACTCAATTTGTCGCTGTCATTGTGTCCTTGGGCAAGACATTTAACCCCCTTTGCCTGATGGTGGTCGGAGGGACCGATGGCGCCAGTGCTCTGCAGCCTCGACTCCGTCAGTGCATCCCAGAGGAGCTGTGGCTACATGGTAGCTCATCACCACCAGCTTGTGAATAGGCGAATGACGAATGAGGCAGGAAGTCAAACCAAAGCAGAAGAGGCAGGCCAGTAAATTTAACAAAATAAAAGAAAATTTTCAAAATAAAACATCACGATTAATAAATGTGAACATTTTTGTGTATCTAAACAGACTAGAGAGATGAAAATGAACACACACACACACACTCCTGCGGAGAAACATAGTGTTTCCACAATTTTAAATGCTGTTTTTGCAGCAAAAGATGGATTTAATAAATGTGAATACAAACAAATGTGTTTAATTGAAAGGTAAATATACAATAGGCATTGTACACTACCACAAACACTAGGTTATTTACTTTACCATTTAGAAAGGAACTGGTCTACGAAACAGCAGCAGGATCAGTGCAGTTTCTGATTTCAACAAGCAGGGCAAACTGGTGGCGGGGGGGGGTGGAAAACGGTAGGCATTTAACAGTTCTTAACACAATGTTAGTCATTTCTGCAGACTAACAGAAATGACTAAAATCTTTTCCATGGCCATGAGGTGTGTCTTTCAACGTGGTTGTTTAAAGGGACTTTACAGACTTTTGAATTTTTAGGCCCGAGCAGCGAAAGCGCTGCGAAGGCCTCTTGTTTTTGCTCCGTTTATTATTAGGCCCGAGCAGTGAAGCTGCGAAGGCCTATTGTATCTGCTCCGTTTATTATTAGGCCCGAGCAGTGAAGCTGCGAAGGCCTATTGTATCTGCTCCGTTTATTATTACGCTTTCTTTCTTTTTTCTTCCGCGTCTTTGACTGGCCTTTAGGGGGTCTTAGCATATCCAAAAAGTCACCAAATTCTGGTTCAATATAGAAAGTGCGTGAAATTTACGTATTTCACTGGCGATGTGAAAGTTCATAAAAAAATGGCTGAACAGCGCCCCCTAGAAAGTGAAAAATACCCCTCTCCATAAAGCTTAGTTTATCGTACAGTTATGAAATTTGGTACACTTGTAGAACTCAACAATATGCACAGAAAAGCCTCTTGCATCCATGGTCAATATCAAACAGGAAGTCGGCCATTTTGGACTAAAGTGGCCATTTTGACCCTGTTTCGGCCATTTCTTGGGTCTATATTTGGTTGAACAGTTTGGTCATTTTTCGCACGATCGTCTCAAAAATAGTGTGCGATCGAACAGAAGCGACGGACGATTAAAATGAGACAATAAAATTGACTTTTCGTAAATACTGAAGGGGCGGGACCAGGCCTCAAAGTTCGAGCACTCGCCAAAAAAATTCAAATTGCTATAATTTCATAAATGAAAGAATTACAGATAAAGTAAC